TACTAAGTGGTGGGCACGACTTACTAAGTGGTGGGCACGACTTACTAAGTGGTGGGCACGACTTACTAAGTGGTGGGCACGACTTACTAAGTGGTGCGCACGACTTACTAACTGGTGCGCACGACTTACTAAGTGGTGCGCACGAGATAGTTTTTTTTTTTTTTCATCCAATGTGTCCCTTTAGGGGCTCCGTACCTATCTGAGTAGTTTTGTGTTTTACATTTATGTGACATTTTCAAAATTTGATCAAGCTTAGCTTTTCTTCTCACTACATTGTCCCTTAAACTTACAAAATGCTTAAAAATGTGTTTACATAAGGATTTGCTAAAATTTTACTGCTATAAAAATAATTAGCATCTAATATATTTTATTTTATCACTTTAATAGTTGATGTTCATCTTCTTTACAGCACATTATAAAGCTTAATTGCAAATTAAACTTCAAGCAACTTATTTAACTGTTTTGTTTGTAGCAAATATACTAAAAAAAACACTATTCCATCTACATCTGATTTAATCTAACTAAACGTGGACTAAATATCAAACCAAGACTGATGAATGAAATATCTGTAAACAACATCAAAAATTTTATTCACTCTCAGCATGTTCAGAAATGCTACTGCATCAAACAAAACTACTAAAAAAGGAAGTTTATTGCAGAGAATCACGCATTAGCATCACATTGCATCAGGACTCTGAAGAGGCCAGTGTTTCAAAACAAGCTGAAGATGGCTGTYAGATTCTGTTCCTCGTCTTCCTCCAGCTGGGCACTGTTACAGAACAGCGGGGGAGTAAAATCTTCAGGGTCTGCTGCTCCAGCAATGTTATTGAAAAAGCTGAAAAACAGATGTGAAACAGACAAAAACAATCACGTCCTGTGAACTCGGGTCTGTGGTCATTGGAATCTAACRGATTTATTTGAGCCTAAGTTCAGACAGGACTAATAGACTTCTCTTGTATATTTTAGGTTTAAAAGCAATAATCAACACACACCCTGCTCCAAAACAGAGCAAAATGTATTTAATTACACACATTAATAGTAACAAGTAAATCTTGACTATAAACCGATGCACAAATAGTATATACACTTTACAGTGATATGTTTACTGTTATAACCCTCTAGCTAAGGCAACGTGTGTGTGCTCATGTGCTGTGGTGTTGTATAAGCAAAAYATCTCGAGAAAGACTGGGCGGATTTGAATGGAACTCTTGACAGGTAATGACTGGCTACACATCTACAACTGACTAATGTTTGAGGTCAGCTCACTCAAAGATGGCCACGACAGCTAACTGACATTAGAAAACAAAAAAATGCTTTAACTCAGTCCATTTTACAGATATTGTGCTAAAATTATATGAAATAATAGTTTAACATCAAGCCCAACAAATATTCCTTGCACTTTCTTACCTGAAACTTTGGCCCTAACTATTAATGTCAGCTGTTTTTGTCTGTTAGCAAAATATCGAACACATTCTCACTACCGACTCGTCAACATATTGACGCTTGGGCAGGATCCTTCTGTGTCCAGTTTTGACGCGTGCGGGTACCCCCGCGCGTCCGTCCTTGCTGCCCGCGGCTTTTCCGGGTTGTGTCGCTTAGGGGTCTTTGGGTCGGGGGTCTGAGGTTAATATGAGGGATTAGGATTAATGGTTAAAATAGTTAATAWGAGGGATCAGGGTTAATGGTTAATTTTAGGTACTGGAGTCAGGGATGGACTGTATAAGGCTAATAGAAGTTAAGTTTTGGGTCTGGGATGGTTAGTTTTGCGCATTTCCTACTCTTGTAAAAAATATGACAATGCGCTCGTCCTCCTCTGCCTCATCTCGTAAAGAACGGACGCGTGRGGGKTACCCARCGCATCYGAACCTGGACGCAGACGGCTACCTAACCAAGYGTCAATATGTTGACGYGGCGGGAGTGAGAATGCGTTGAAATATCTAATAAACCATATGGCGGATTTGGAAAAAAATCTTGATTTGAAAAATTGATTWACTTTGGAGGTTAACCCAATTCAAGATGGCTGCCAAAGCTGCCACAGGTAATCAGTCTTATCAAGCCCAAAAATAGATATAACTTAGTAAAACTTTTAGATGTTGACTTAAACTTGTTGTAATTTGATATTCACTCAACACATACTCTGAGTTATCACAATATTTTGTGAGATTTGATCAAAATGGTGCAATTCTTTGCATTTTCCATCATAAAATGATCTCAGTTTAAAGCTCTGACTAATGTGCTTTTTTAATGCTAAACCTTTAGTTTTAAATTGATACTTTGGCTTAATTTTATTCAAACAAAGGCTTARATGTAGTATTGGTAGTGAGAGTAGGGAGCAGGTGGAAGAGAGCCTGGGGAGGTGGAGGTTTGCTCTGGAGAAGACTGAACAGATTGTGTTTTATATGCACCAACCTGACCAACACCCAGCCTGTTTTGTCTTTACAAAACATAGTRCTGATAGGAAGACATCCAAACTCTGTAACAGTGCCAATGTACTCCGCTGCAGAAACAAAAAACAGATCACATGAAGGCTGAGGAACCCAYAACCGGACAAACAGGATAAACTAGTGCAGTCAAAGTCATGTGGTGCTTTAAAGCACGACTTTGTGTTGTTTTTCTGATGTACCTGTGCCTTTTTTCATCTGCAGCTKCCCTGWCCATGTGTTGACCAGGATTCCTTCGCCTGGAACAGAAGAGCTGCCCAAAACAAACTGCCCCACTAAGGAGGCGTCATTTGGAACCGCCAAAGGGTGRAAGCTTTCAGTCAGCTGCTTCTTTACACACGTACTGGTCTTCCTGTTGATCTTGTACATGATACCCTGCAGGACATGACAGCATGAGAAATAATGTCTGAAGAAATTCTGATTGGCGCCAGTGCTGCTACTGCTTTAAGTTGCATTAAAGTTGAGATGCAATTACTTTCATTAGGTTCACCATTGTAACCACACACTGAGTTATACAGTCGTGAGAGACACATTAGGTGAAAGACTATATTTTATAAACTACAAATTACATAAGAAGTGTAATGTTTGTGGAAGGAAAAGAATACTGGAAAGTTTTACGGCCTAAAAGAGCGTTTGAGATAATCACACTAAGTTGAACATTCTGTAGTAAAATCTTAAAATAATCATACAAACAGTGGTTTTATAAAAACACAGTACTGTATGTTTAACAGTGACTTCAGGCATGTAAAGATCAATCTTCTATGAAGCCATATGAAAGTTGATTGATATTTCTGCTATATCACTGATCTTTACAGCTCCAAAGAGTGCTGAGTTTTTGTTTTACCAAAACTTTGTTCTCTACAATTTTGCAGTTGTTGTGACTTTTGCTTGCGCAGTAAAATATACCATAATATTGTCAAGTTGTACATTTTGATTTATTTTGAAAAAAAAAAACTGTTCAATAATTTTGGAGAAGTAGATCAATAAAAATGTGACACGCTGTGATGAATAATATGGAGGACTGAAACTGACATAATTAGAAATAAAAGCAGAAATATA